ATAAATATTTACATTTGCATTAAATGTATATCTTTATAAATAAATAAAATATTACGCACACATAGGTATGACTTTTGTCCCCTTTGCATTAAAATGAAATAGCATATTCTTTCATGTTGCATGAGCCCATTGGTGAAATCCCAGAAAAACACTCATTCAGTCCAGATGTCCAGAAGCACCCGAAAGCTGCAAGTGTAGGGAAGGTCCTACATAGTCCAGGACTGGACTCTGCCCAGTACAGATAGATTACTTGGGGAAAGTAGTTACTAAAATCAAAGAAGTCTTTCAGGAGCATGTACTAAATGCTGTTTTTGGAGGCTTATGACTTGTCTAAATTTGAGCAGATTTTCACAGAAACAGCTAAAAGCCACATCCTTAACATAAGGATCACCTCTCTGCCATATATTCCTATAAAAATAAGCCCTACCTGTTCTTGAACTTAAAAAAAGTCCCTGCTTCAGAGCATGGAGACATTGAAGCTGTTTGAAGGAAAAAAACACCAAACGTTCTTAACATGATCCAAACAATATATCTTTCCCTAGCCTATTCCTCAGAAATTACTGAGTATTTCTGACCAAAATTTTACCTGGCATGGAAACTTTCAACCTAAAATGTTAAAGTCTAGGAGTTATAAGCAACTGAATAAGGAGCCTCATAATGGAAAATGTCAGAAAATTCTCATTACAGATAGTTCCTCTATTATTATTAGTAGTAGTAGTAGTATTGTTATATACTACTACTAATTATTATAATAATGGATGCAGTAACACTTTATAACATTCCCCTGTTCATTAGAAGTTCCCAGAAAAAGAACACTACACAATGGTGGAGGTAGATCTGGAACCCCAGCCCTAAGCACAAGGAGCTGTTGTCACTTACAGCTGAACAACTGAATTGCTTATCATTGAATAATTCCATAGAGTACATTGGTATCTTTTTGCCAAGCCCTGGATGCTTTTCCAAGAATGATTTTCTCTGAAACAAGGCTGGAACTCAGGTTGAATTTCAAAACCATGTTAAAGTAAAAGCATTGCCATCTGTCTGCCAAAAAATCTACCAGGTACAGTGTCCTGTTGAGTAGAGGTTTTTGCCTGTTCAGTGAGTGGTCTGGCAGACTGGACCATGAGGCCATCTCTAGACCAGGAAAAAGGTGTATATTTCCTAAATTATAAACACCTTTTGAACACTTCTGAACAAGGCCCATGCCAAATGGTATAAGGCAGAGGAGAAGAAATATTAGAGGTGAGGAATGTGGTTAACAGGTGGTTATTGTAGATTAAAACATCAGCATCAATGCCCCACCCGTCCTGTCTGTGGCCTCTAAAGCAGTTTTCGTTGTGGAAATACCTTGTTTGAATAGGGCTGCAAGCTCAAGCAGCAGCCAGCAAGTGCATTTCTCTTCTCTGGTCCCATAATATTCAGCTTAGCTGCAAGAATGTATATGAGCTAATTCCACTGGGGTCTAGGAATTGCCACGGGACCCTTCTTCCATTTAACCCTGTGTCCTCTCTCTGGCAGTAGCTAGCACCAAATCTTTCAAAGGAAGCTGTGAAGACTCCTACCACAGGCAGAACCACTGCTTTTCTTAGGTTGGGCAGCACAAAGTGTATGGGGAAATGGGGAAGCAAAGGAGATCAGAAAGCAAAGGAAAGAGGAATAACCTAGGAGTGGAAATAAAAAAAAAAAGAGTAAAACAATGGAAAGTGCTTTCATGAGACCAAATAGTTTGTCAATTAGACCATTTTCTAGCCTTGCCTTTTTTTTTCTAGTAGCTAATGTATGAAACTTTCTGCCAGAATTCAGGGGTAGTTAAGTAAAAATAAATTGCTTTTTGTTTGTGCTGACTTTTTGTTCTTGTTTGCCTCTAACTTCATCAAAAGGAGCTAACCTTACAGACAGAGATGGTGCAAAAGTATCATAGCTGGTTTTTTGTGCTGTAAATGTAGAAGACCAGCCAGCCAAAACGCTATGTTATTAGAAGCACGGTTTCCAAAGAAGTTTGGAATTTGTATTAGACCGAGCATAGCTCCCTCTTAAAGCATCCATAACCTACAAAGATAGTCTATCCATTTCATGCACCACAGTGGGGACATTTAGATACCTAGCCAGTTGCTGATAAAAGGACTGCCAAAAAAGAAAATAAATTGGATACCTTTGTAAAAGTTTCATACCTCCCTACACAAACACCACTCAGGAAATTAAATCTGCACCATAATAAGCATGGTACACATCTGTCTAATGCTACACTCCAATGATTTCCAGGTAGACTAAATTTTAAATGTTATACTATACCTACAGCTTATAAAGCAAGATAACAGTTACCTGGCCCTATCAACAAGATTGGATGGAATGATAGTTGGAGCAAAAATGTAATATACTTTCTGAAACTGGCAAAAAGCAGTTTTCACAGCTGTAAAAGTTGTGTCCACAATGAGGTAGTGTGCAAGTGGGCATGACTAATGCTGAACCAAACATGTTGTTTTCTTGGTCTTTTTTCTTGTTTTGGCCACTGGTTTTCAGTGTGAGCCTTATGGTATAAATAAGATGTCCAAAGTGTATTGAGATCCTTGGCAAAACATGATATAAATATTCAGAAATATATTTATCACATTTCCCCCTCATCCCAAAAGGTACTTTCCACTCCCATCCTGCAGTGCTGGTGAAAGTTAGGCTTATCTCCATCTTGGAGAACATCTTTTTGCCCAGCAGACCTGAGAAAACACTTTAAGGTACTCCACTGTCATTCTGAATTCACAGAATATCCGTGAGGATATCAGTGAGGATCCAAAAATAAACAAACAAATAAATAAAAAGTATCCTGGAACTATAAAAAATATATATTTAATTTAAACTAAAATTTTATTCTTTTACTGGCCCTTTTTCTAAATCAGTTCAGCATCTAAGTGGCCTTTATGAAGACTTACTATAATACAATATCATTCATTTCCTTTATAGTTGGTTAATAAATAGAAATATTTCAAAAACACAACTTCATAACAAAATGCAGTAACTGAAATCAAACACTGATTCAATTCCCATGCAACTCAATGGAAGTCTGTCTGTTGTTTTCAATGAGCATTGGAATGTGCTCTAAGTAATGCTGTCCACTGAGTAATGAATTAGGATGCATGAGTTCACATCTAGCTGTTCTGGTGGCATCTGATTATAGATTGCACAGCCATCATACCAGACATGAGTGAGTTCACCTGTAATTCAGACTCTGAACTATCTTGTTCTTCCAGAACAATGGATTTATCACTCTGTCAGTCTTGATTAATAAATATACAGTAGTAAGGTTTTTTTTAAAGATCAGTTCAGTTACAGATCTGAATAAAAATTAATTTAAAAGAGAGCAGATATTCCAACAGTTACAGTATGTGCACCTGCATATGTCAAAATACTGCTGAAACACATAGGTGAATGCAGTGTGCTATAAAGAACATTTTAATTCACAACCATTACACACACACTTCATGAATAAAGCACCATAGAGCTTGAGTTTTCTCCTATCCTGTTAAGGCAACACCTGTGACTATAGGAATTAAAGTGAAGGATTGCAATCCTTACAGAAGTATGTAGAGCTCTTTAATGATCTATGCAGTTTGGTTAAAGGCTTGGCAGGAAGGTAGAGGATCTAGGTTTTGGGGGTTTTTGACACCATTGCATATTTCTTAAATGACCTTTGAAAAATCATGTTCAGATTAGTGTATTGGACACCTAATGAGACCTGATGCCTAACAAAGTCAAATTGAATTGCCCTCCTAAGCTAAGTATAGGCAGTCAAGAAGCCTGAGGTTGAATCAATTCAATCTTTGCAGGTTAGGCTAAGCTGCATAGATTGAACCACTAAGCAAGTGAACAGATATTTACTTATCATTCCAGAAATGCATCCACATGCATGAAGTGGCCCCCGCCAGAAGCTGCAGGGCACTAGAACGGGTTTGCCGGGGAAGTGCAAAGCATCCTGGGTTGCTGGGAGCTGTGAGTTAACTTGAATCTGGAGGGGATCTGGGACAGAAATTCAATACACTGATTTAACCTAAATCTGTTAAGTCTGTTACTACATCCATCCAGGTTTACCTTAAACCAGTTTTAGACACTTTGAAAGTGGTTTATGTGCACTGAACTTCTGTTGTGTTACAGTTTTGAACCAGTTTCTGATCACGTATACCAGTTTATGTGTAATTTCTGTCCAACCCCTTGGGCATACAGCCTAACACTTAAGAATTTAGTTGTCTAAATTTAGGCCCTTACAAAACTAATTTGAATTCAGGCCTCAGTTTCTCCTGGCATGTCCACATGAGACACTACAATGCTGTAGCAATGTGCTACACTAACATAGCATTGGCAGGTACAAACTGTGACACCACAGCTACATCACTGTAGCAAAACACTCCCTCACTATAGTCCATTGCTACAGTGACATAGTGCCTAAAAATAACCATACACCACTAGCATGGCACAGTACTAATGGTGCCGTAGGGGCACGTGTAGACACACCGTCTGTCTCTCGGTTCCTTACCTGTTAAATGAGGATGATGAAGCTTACTCCTCTCACTCTTTGTCTGTTGAATTGTAAGTGCCTGGGACAAGAACTTTCTATTATTATTTGTTGGCACAGTTTCTAGCACAACAGTGCCCTTACAGTTGCAATACAAATATACTTTTGCAATGGAAATAAATAAACCATAGCCTACTTATCACATACATGGCTCCAGGAGCAAAAATATTCATAAATCTAATTAGAATTTACCTTGAAAGCTTTCATGCTGCTATGAGTATTCTATCCAAAAAAAAAACTTTAGAAAAGTAAAAACTATTTCAAGTAAAATAAAGTAAACTAGTTAAATTATTTACTGTGAAGCTGTTATAGTCTAGCATGTTTAGAGATATACTGATGTTTCCCAAATAAGTCACACCAAGTACAGAAAGGATGTGATATGCTTCACCTTAACTTTTCTGTCTGATTTTAGATTGATGTTATTTTAACTTTATCACAGAGGCCATATGAAATTCATTCCACCACCCCAATTGATGAGATCCTCAACATGTTCAAGATAGAAAGAGTTCATTACTCATCTACATGGTGTAAGGGCATGATAGCACTACTTAAAAAGGTAAGAAAGTACAAGCAACTCTGATCTCCATGCAATCAAGAAAACATAAACCAGGCAAGACAGAGCTCTGATAAATAGCACATTTTTTAAATGTCATGCCTGTAGAAGAAGGTCCCTTTTCATGGCTTTTTCTCTCTGCTGAATTTGCCAGTAGAATTGTCTGTAAACCTTAGAGACTTTTTCCATCAACTATGATGCTATCGTGACAATGGCAAAGGTTCTTGAGCTGCTTCGTTGTAAATGATGGGAAGCTGCAGCCTTACTCAAAGCCCCATGTACTGTAATCAACTTTCACCCTAGCAGCTTGGAAATCATCATTTTCTATGTGCTGCTAAATTCAGGATTTGGGTGGGAAGTGGTTTGAGTAGGAGATTTTAAATGTATTTTTTCTAAATGTAAATAAATGTGTTCTGGGAACATGGAGTTACTGATTTGGTTTTCATGGCATAACAGTCTTTAATTTATGGAATAATTCATAACAATTCATTTTCATTGGTATCAGAGTGCTGACTGTACTAATATACAGGAAGTAGCTAAACAGATAAATGAAAGGTGCCTGGTGGTTCCAGACTGTAATGACGCTTTGTCTTTTTTTCATCATTTGGACTTTTGTGCACAAGTAAATGGACTATCACTATGAACTCATTTTCTTTTATAAATGTAACAGCCCTCAAATGATAGTTATATTACTTTAACATCTTGTAAGCTGTTTTATTTAAAAGACTTGGTCTACTAAGAGGTGTTACAAGATTCTGTAAGATCTTTCTAATTTGGAAAGTCATTATCCTTGTTAGCAAGATATATTTCTCTTCTTCATGACAAACAGTATCCGAGAAACTGCATGGTTTTGATTGCAGCTCCTCACTAAGGATCCAGAATGTCGTCTCTCAAGCCTTGCAGATGTCCAGAGCTCTCCATACCTAGCTGATGTGAACTGGGATGCTGTTCTAGAGAAAGCCGTGACCCCAGGCTTTGTTCCTAATGTGAGTCCATATTCTAACTGAACAACATTTTCAACTTCCTATCCAATTATCACTGCCATATTAAACACTTAGATCACGGGTTCCCATATGTATATCCCAGAAGTCACTTGCAAGCCATGAAGCATTTGTGTGTGGCCCACAAAGAGGGGTTTTAATGGTGGCTTTCCACAAGAGAACCAGCTGATCAGGGAGGCTGTAGCCACTGACTGTTCAGTAGTAACTGGTCGACAGATTTTACTCTTTTTTTTAGCAGCAGCCCTGTTATCTAACAATACCCTGTTATTGTTAAGGGTAACAGATGTCCTTAGCAATGGGTTTAACATGCCAGAAGGGAATGTCAATGCTCCATCCTGGCTCGTCCTAGTGGATACCAAAGTGCTGAATGTTGTGGTGGTCACTCAGTTCCATGAGCTGCCCTGACATGTTTTACTGGCAAGAAAAGGCAGCTGCCTAAGTCTTAATTCAAACCTAAATTAAACAATGATGCCAGATTCTCCATATATAAGGAATATTATGTTTGACCTCTTGCACATAGAAGTATTGCATTACGTATTCAATTTGTCATGCAGCTCCCAGAGTGATATCCAGTCATCAGGTGGCCCTCCATGGACAAAACTTTGGGAACTCCTGGTTTAGATATTTGCATTTATTTCTCTAAGAATGTCTCAGTGCTTTGCTCCTGATACGCTATCTTTATTCGGTCACAATAAAGTAAAATTTGGCCAACTGCATTAGAATAAAACAAAATCTGATTTTACTTCAGTGCAGTAAGCAGAGCAGTAAACAGAGCAGTTGCTCTGGGATAAGCATCTCATAAGTGGGACTGCCTTGAAGAGGCTTGTCTCCATGCTGGTGACTTTGGGTGTGTAACTGGTGCTAGAGAGTTTGCCTAGTACCTTGTGTGCTTGTGTGTAACTCTCTATTATTCTTTTTCGTTTTCCCCTGTGGTGGGTTTTTTGTTTCCTTGTTTTCTTGTTTGCTTTTTTTTGTTTTGTTTTTCGTCCTTCTCTTTCTCTCTTTCTTTTCTTCCACACCCCTCCCCCAGGTAGGGCTGGTTTAGGTAATTGAGGGGTGGAGCTAGGCTAGGCAGCCTTATAAAAATACAGCCCCCAGCAAACCATGTGAGTACTGAACAGAAGCCAACAAATAGAGAGGGAGTTTGCCCAGGGAATTTGCCATAGGAGGGAGGGTGGATATGTTGCACATGCATATGCATGTGCAAGGACCTAGATACAGGTGTTTGGTCTGCAGGTTCTTGTGGTACTTTCTTTCTCTCCTGCTACGCCTTCCCCCTGCCCGTCTTTATTTCTCCTCTTTACAGCAAAGGTGTTCTCCAGGGAGCAAAGGAGGCACAAACAAAGGCCAGGTCAGCAGTTGTGACCTGTGGGGGATGTGCATTTGATTGTGTTCCTTCCAGAAGGTCAAAAGCACTTCACCTGCACCAAGGATAAGCTGGTGCCTTCCCTGGAGGAGAAAATTCAAAGATGGCATTCATGCTACATCGCATCAGGGAACAGGAAGTTTGCTTGGACAAGAGTTATGAGAGGTTGGTACTACCGGAGAGGCCAAAGGGAAATGAGAAGTGACAGCATGTGACTACTTAAAGAAGAAGGGCCCCCAAAAATTAAATAGGAGTGAATTGAAGTCTGCAACCACTTTCAAGCATTGTGTGGTGGAAATGCTGAGGAAAAGGCAAAGGAGAGGACATCTACAAGCATGATACAGAGGACTCAGCAGTCTAGAGAACAGGGAGTGCAAGACCCGAGGGACAAGGGCTCTAGGATCACTGGACCAAGAAGGAAGAGAAGAGTGGTGATAGTTGGTGACTCCCTTCTGCAAGGACAGAGGCACCAGTTTAACATCCAGATTTGGGGGCCCAAGAGATGTGCTGCCTACCTGGAGCCTGAATTCAGGACACCATAGAGAGACTGCCACAGAGAGTTCATCCGTCCTCTGGACCACTACCCCTTCCAGCTTGTCCATGTAGGCACCAGCAGTACTGCTAGGAATGACACTGGAGAAACCAAAGGTGAATATGAGGCTCTTGCCAGGAGGATTAAGGAGCTTGAAGCATAAGTGGTGTTCTTGCTGTAGAAGGCAAGGGTCCAGGCAGGGACCATCATATCCTGGGTGTGAATGCTTGGCTGAGACAGTGGTATCAATAGAAAGACTTTGGAGTCTTTGACAATGGGCAGATATTCTTGGGAGGAGGACTGCTATCAAGAGATGGGATCCATCTGACAAGAATATAGAAGAACATTTTTGGGTGTCATCTGGCCAAATTATAAAGGAGGGCTGTAAACTAGGTTCCACGGGGGATACGGATCAAAATCCTCCGGCAGCAGAGTACACAGTCCAGATGAGAAAGGACTCAAACAGACAACCTAACTCCAGGTAAGGGCCAGAAAGCTACAAGACAGCAACAAGTGGTGCAAAAGGGAAGCAAGTAGGTTAACATGCAAAATACATCTGATGCATGTATACAAATGTGAAAAGTACTTGTTCCCTGGTTACGGAGGAAGACAGCAAAGCAGAATGCATTTGGGTGAAGATGAAGGGTGAAAGATGCAGTAGTGATATAAAGGTGGGAATTTATTATAGGACATCAAATCAGGAAAAAGAGATGGCTTTTGGCTAGGTTTCTCACCTGCTCTTTAAGCAGGTGAGAAACCTAGCCAAAAGCTATGGGATGGTACTGATGGGAGACTTCAATTTTCTGGGCATCTGCTGGAAGAACAATGCAACCAAACATAAAATGTCAAGCTGGTTTCTAACATGTGATGGTTAACTTTCTGTTCCAGAAGGTAGAGGATACAACTAAGGGATCATCAATCTTGGATCTTATCCTGACCAACAGGGAAGAACTAGTGGACGATGTGAAGGGAGGCAACTTGGGAGGTAGCAATCATTTTATCATAGGATTCCAGATCCTGAGACAGGGAAGGCATGAGGTCTGCCAAATTATGATGCTTGATTTGAAAACACATATTTAATCTGACTCAAGGAGTTAGTAAATATGGTACCATGGGAAGATAGACTGAGGGATAAAGGCACCCAAGAGAGCTAGGAGTTTCTAAAGGTCCATAGAGTAGGAAGCCCCACAAGAAACTGTCTCAGCACGATGGAGGCACAAGAAGAAAGTCCAGAGACCAGTGTGACTGTGCAAATAGCTTCTTGGATGCCTCAAATACAAAAGGAAAGCATGCAGACAATGAAAGAATAGTCACTAATGAAGTGTACCAGGAAATAGCAAGAACCTATCGGGACAAACCCAGGAAGGCAAAGGTCAAGAATGAGCTGTGCATGACAAAAAAGTTAAGGAGAACAAGAAGAGGTTCTATAAATATGTTGGCCAGAAAAGAAGGACCAAGGAAACTGTGGGTCCACTGTTAACCAGAATAGCAGGAGGTTTCAAGTAGAGTCCCACAGGGGTCTGTCTTTGGCATGGTGCTGTTCAACAGATTTATTAATTATTTGGATGCTGGCATAGAAAACTTCTTGAGCAAGTTTGCAGATGATATGAAACTGAGAAGGATTATGAACATGTTGGAGGATGGGACTGCAATATAGAAAGATCTAGAGAGATTGGAAAGCTAGGCTAGAGCTAGCAGTGTGAAGTTCAGTGCGGACAAATGCAAGGTGCTACAACTTGGGAAGAATACTAAAAAACACAAACACAAAATGGGTGGTACCTGGCTGGATGGCAGAACTGTGGAGAAGGATCTGGGACTCCTGCATCTGAATAGGTGTGCAACATCTTATAGTCTATCCTCCTTTGCTGATCGATAATCCATTTTGTTACAAAATAATTTTAATTCAAATGACAGTTTTCTACATCAGAGGAGTTAGAGTCTGATTAGTTTTAAATGAATTCATTTGCTTAAATGTATTTTAAAAACAGTGAATGATTTGATAAAACATTTCTTCAGCTTTATTCTATCATGAAAACTACAATGTAGTTTTTATGAAATGACGAATTTACACAAATTAATGTGAGGGGATTTTGTGTTTGTTTTATTTGTTTTTGGGGTGGGGGTTTCAAGGAAAGTGGTCTTCTTTTTACCCAGTTTAAATAAATTCAACCTGGAACCTCTTCCCATTCAGGTCCATATTAATATTCCCATTTCAGCGACCTAACGATCGAAGGGAAGCTGGGTGATAGTGACCACAAGCTGATCACCTTCGCCATCTGTAAATCTGGCATGTCAGTCAGCAATGCAGAAGTCCTCGACTTCAGGAAAGCTGACTTTGACAAGCTCAAGAGGCTTGTCAGTGAGGCCCTAGGGGCCACAACCCGAAGGGGAGGGGAGTTCAGGACAAGTGGTTGGTCCTCAAAGGAGCGATCCTGGATGTGCAAGAAAAGTCTATTCTGTCTCAAAGGAAAGGCAGCAACAGGGCACAGCAGCCCCCTTGGCTCTCCAGGGAACTAGCGGACCTCCTGCATCTAAAAAGACATACCTACAAAGGATGGAGGACTGGATCCACCTCCAAGGGAGAATACACTGCACTGGTCCAGACCTGCAGGGAGAAAACCAGGAAAGCCAAGGCTGTGATGGAACTCCTACTAGCTACAAGTATCAAGGACAATAAAAAGTCCTTTTTTAGGTATATGGGGAGCCAAAGGAAAAGCAAGGGCAACATTGGACCCCTGCTAAACCAGATGGGACAACTGACAACCAACACCCAGGAACAAACCAAGTTGCTAAATGGGTACTTTGCGTTAGTCTTTCACCAGCCCCATGGGGTGCCCCTGCCTGTTACGGGACAGGGAGGCCCAGGTGAGGGAGATTCCTTACCCTGCATCAATGCTGACCTCATGAAGGAACACCTTGAGAGTCTGGACACCTTCAAGTCAGCTGGCCCTGACTGTTTACACCCCAGGGTACTCAAGGAGCTGGCTAGCATCATAGCTCAGCCCCTGGCATGAATCTTCGAGAACTCCTGGTGCTCTGGTGGAGTGCTTGAAGACTGGAAGAAGGCCAATGTGGTGCCTATCTTCA